TACAAATATATATCATTTTACTAGTGGAGCTACACATTCGTCAGCCTAATCAGTTGAGAAAGAGTACCTAGATATTTTTAAATTGTGCATTATTGAAAATATTAAGCATTTTCGCGATGCCAGAAGAAATTTTGAGCGAAATATTTTAGTGGATTTTATGCTTGGTGTTAGTTATTTCTATCAAACTCAAAACGGTTTTAGTCATTACTTATGAGTACTACTCCAAATTCGCTTTCTTCAAAAAGTTGTACTTTTTAAATTACTCACGCTCAGTTTTGCGTACTGCTAGCATCTAGGTTGATCTAGTTTCTTAAAATTTTCACCAAATTAAATTATCCCTGAGGAATTATATGTTTTAGGGTTTTGCAAACGACATAATTTAAAAACGAAAGAAAAATACACCATAACCCTGATGGATTTATTAGCAAGCATTCTTCCTGTTCGTAGTTTTTCGTTATTTTTACACGCAGGTCATTGCAAATAAAATGATGAAAATTTAGGTATTGGTTATTTTACAGTTACCTTTTGTGAACGGTAAATGAATACGAGAGTTTTTTTGTTTAAGAAGAAAATTAAAAAGAAAGTCCGAAATTTAGGTTTTTTAATTGTACTCTCAACGGAATATAAAAAATGGAAACTTCAACGCGGAGAGGCATGATAAATGGAGTTGCAATCACTTCGTGGCCCTAATTTTGATTTTGTACAAGTTTTAGTGCCTGATGGCATTGTTGCAAACAACATTGTGCAAACAGTTAATTAAACGTTACTTTAGGCGTTACTTTACACTTTTCTTTCGAACCATTTTTTACTTAGTGCTTAGTGTATTGAACAATAAATTGATTACAATTTGGTGTACGGCCTCTTCCTACATCCAATTCAGACAGCGGAAGTACGAAAAAGCAAGATTATTGAGCTGAAAATCTAAATGAATAGACATTTTTGATTTTGCTATAGGATGCATCCAATATAGGGCAAAAATTGAATTAGCTTATGAAAAACTTTAGTTGTGGCAAGACTGGCAACCGATTTAGAAAAAAATTCTCAAGCTGCAGCACGTTTTGAGACCTCTGGATATGCAAATTTGCCATTTGTTCGATCGATTTGTTTATGTGGGCAAAAGTATCAAAGTCTAAACCAACTTCCTAAGAGCTCCCGAAGAGCCACATGGCTGTTTTTTACCATTACCATGAACAGTGTGAGATAAGCTTGACTTTCATTGATGAACAAAAATGTGAATAAAAGTACGAAAACAAATAGTTCAAAACCCTGTAGGAACAAAATCTAAAGGTTTAGTTTAGGGTAGTTACTGTTAAGAAAATGTGCATTGATTTGTCCCACTATATTCGAAGGGTCGAACTACTGTACGTCTTGGGTTAACTCACGGGCCATTTACCGGCTCACTACATTTGCCAGGGCTCATTATTAACGCCGCCGAAGCTAAGTCAACGTTTGCCGAGGTGCGCTGCTTACTAATTTCAATAGATTAACCGCGCACATTTAACCCATTCGCTTAAATCGAGTTATTTGTAATTAACTAGCTCCCAACTCAGGATTCGGCTTCTTCCGCGGTGTAGGAGCTAGACCGCAGATTAATCCGCCGACAAATTTTCGATTATCGGAGAGCAAAAAACGTTTAAGCTACCAGGGAGCAAACGTTTATTTATAAAACTCTCAGTCCCTACTCGGTGAATAATCCAGGTGAACTGGGTTCTAAGCCACACATCTTTTGGTATGTACTTCCATTGAGAACTTGAAGACTAGCTTATTTTAGACTTAATTGGAATATTAACTGAATATCATTGATTTCTCAGCTGATTTGATTCGGTTACATTGTACTATTGGCAACTCTATAGATAGAAACGCAAAGGCAATTTCGCATTCGAAAGTGTTTGGTAAAACGCTGTTATTACAGTCATAACGACGAAAGATGTATTTTTGAAGCCAACCCTCCGGGTTTCCAGAATTGTCTCTTCGTAATCGCCCCTGAGACCAAGAAATGATGAACCGAAGATAGAACCAGCCCATTTTTATAGGTCTCGAGTTTGCGTTGTTCACAAATTAACAGTCACATTTTTAAATAGGATAATTAACATATTCTATTTGATATTACGTTTCAGATTTAGTGTCATATGCTTTGCAAAGCGGTTGAAGACCTATTTAATTAACTATTTATAACTTATAAAAGAACTTAAATGATTCTCGAAATGCACACTACAAGATTTTCCGAGTTTATTGTCCAATAAATTGAGCCAACCATTAATGGTCACCAGATAAAAGCGTAAAGCGTGGATCTGGACGGCAATCGAAAAATTGTACAATTTATTGCAGACTTATAGCATGTTTAAAACTATTGGGATTGTAAAAATTATTTGCGAATTTTTGGTGTTGTGTGTTCTTTGTTAACTCGGCAATAAAGATGTTGGGAGTTATTCTCAAACTGAAATGACACGGAATTAGGGGTCAGGTCAGTGTTTTATTTTTAATACGTTTCATATTTTGTTCAGTGACGATGCTACAGCGCAAACGAAAGATGCATTTGAAGAAAAACTAAGAAACATTATCCACCAGATACCGAATGATGAGTCAAAAATCATAAAAAACGCAACAGTGGGAAAGCGAAACAATAGTAAATTGGTCGGAAAATATGGAGATGAAAAAATAAACTATACCGGACAAAGATTAATTAATATCTGTGATCAATACGACCTAAAATAGCAAACCTATTTTTGGCACACAAAGATATATATAAATACACCTGGTAGCAACACACAAGGGGGCCTAGATCGATTATCGACTACATCATCACTAGACAGCAACCAGGAATCAGAGTACAGGCTGTAAGAGTAAACAGGGGAACAGACTGCTGATCCGACGACTGCGATGTACAATACATCGCCACTGGTATTGTGAGGAAAGTAACATCCAACTAAAACGACATAAACAATATCGAATAAAATCTCGAGCGTCTACAACGCGATAGTACCAAATACCTGTTCTGCAAGAGATTAGAGGAGGAATTAACACAAACGAATAGAAAAACTGAAGATGTATACCAGCACACTAAATTCCATTTAACGGAAGCACCTCGGGAATCTGTTGGGATGCAGGCAAAGGGACACACCATACTGGTGGAACGGGGAAACAGAGAAATAAATTAAAGAGAAAAAACAAATTAACGAAAAATTCCTACAGAAGAAGAATGAACGAACAAGAATATAGGCAAGCAAAAAATAAAGGTAAAGGCAGAAGTACTAAAAAAGAGGAACCAATTTTGGATTACAAAATGCGACTACATAGGCCAGTAAATGGGAAGCGTACGAAGTCCAGAGCCTGGAATACCATAAAAGCAATGCGGACACGCAACAAATGGGGAACTAGTCTGAATGGTATGGCAAACTCACAGTCGACAACTTTTTTAAACAACTATTGGAAAATCAGTGACAGCAATATATGAGAGCAGATTAAGAACCGCCCAATGCGGACCTCACATATCTCGAACTAGTGAAAGTGCAAGAGACGATAAAATTCACAAAAATAAGAAAATCCCCCTATCCTGGCGAGAAATATTTCAAATTTATAGGAAACCGACCACCCAAGCTAACACAAAAGCTAAAGAATCTATCTAAATGAGGTCTAAATGGAGACGAAACCGCAAAGGAATGGAGGACCTCTTATATTATAGCTATACATAAGAAGCGACCCAGGGATAACTCGAAAAATTACCGGGGTGTAGCGGCAATCCCAACAATAAAAAGAAAATACAAGCAAAAAAACATATTTGCGAATCCTGAAAAACTTGAAACACGAAGACATAAACGACAAAACCGGAAGAACAGGCAAGGTTCAGAGCGGGAAGAAGGACTCTCGATAACTTGCTTACATTACTTACTTAATTTCAATTTTCAACAATATTTTAACTTTAAGCGTTTATCAGATTCGAGAAATGACTACATCATATTTTCTTTTCCTATGAAGGAAAACGCGTAAATTGCTTGAAAATTAAATTTCTTTATTACTCTATCTACAGCAATGTTCACATGATTTCTTCATTTTCGTCTAAAGTCATTCTTCTAGTTGATTATGCGCGTAAAAATAAAAAAACTTGGTCTTCCAACAGACGTCTGAATTGCAGTGGGAAATTTCAAGTTGACTACTTAAAAGCTCCCTCAATAAAGAAGTGAAAAACAAATTGCAACTTTTTCACATACGCAAACAACTTCCCAAAGTTGCGTTTCCCTCTGGAACGCCGTATTTTAATTATTGAATTCCTTAAAATGTAAGCCTCTTAGAAAAATAAGCTGAACGCGGCTGCTGCCAGGTTTGTTTAGCCCCATCCCCGCCATACTTTTGCCAATTTATGCATCAATTCCATATTTCGCAAGTCGTTTTCATAATTCCACGCATCGGGTCGACGAAAGACAGCCAGCCTGGCTCATCGTATTTCCATTTTGTCAAGAGGGAGAGGCACACTCACACACCTTATATCATTTGCATATTTGTCAGCTGTGCCACCTTAACTTTTCTCCAGCACGGGATAAAGTTGTTCCTAAAAAGGTACTCAGAGAGACAAACTATCGCGCCAAATCTGATGCATTTCAAATACCTTTTACATATTCCGTCACGTGTATTTCGTATGGATGAATATATTGTGGCAAATGGAACGAAATCGATTGCGACAAAGTGTTTTACGGGAAAGCTGCTAGATTAGTTGTTTTCTTATGCAATTTTATTTGCCCTAAGATCTTTGTTTCATTTGAATTGCAAAACGAAAATCAATGCGATTTGAAACAACATATAATTGCAGATATTTTTCTGTTGTAAGAAAATATAAATTGAATTCAATCAAACAAGTTTATGTAAAAAAGTGTGTATGTATGTATAAAAAGGCCAAGCGCTTTCGACAATTACGTCATCATCATGGCCACTAAACAATAACAAACAAAGCAACAGTAAGCAACCTGGACGCAGACAAAAACAAATTAACAGGAAACAAAACTTACTCGTCAAATCAAAAGTGAACATCCTCAAGATCACCGAACCGAACATCTAAAACGATAGTCAGAAATGGTCTAAAGGGCTAAAATTCTAAATGACATACTTACTAGAAACAGACTAAAGTTAAAATTAGAATAAATTAGAATGAAATTTGATTAAGGAACTTGACTAGTCGGCCTTAACAGTATGGCGACCAGTCTGGTAACATTCGCTCAAAAGCATCGGGCAGAAACACTCCACATTTGGCTGCCAAAGTGAATTTTAACACCTTTTTTTCGTTGGTGCGAAATACTGAATATTCAACAAATTCCAGATGCTCCAAAAAATATAAAAAATTAAATAAATAAATATAAGTATTAATCTTCCTTGAATGAAAATATTCCTTAATTAAATATAATTAATATAACATTTAAATTAAAATTAAAGGGCAATGAGAGGGTTCGGTGACTAGCCTGGGTAGTCACAGGCAATCGAGAACATTAATCGAAGTCTCAAGATAAAAACAGAAGGTCTTGTGAAGAGAAAGGAGACAATATTATGCTCAAGAATGACAGTACTGACTGTTGGACTGAAATAAAATATGAATATGAAAAACACTTAAGTGATGACTATTGGGATGGTTACATAGTTAAATATCCGTACAACGCTTTCAAAATAGGAAAATAATTAATTTATTTCTTGTTGAAATATAAATTGTCTCTGTAAGTTAAAATATAGAGCTAAACCCAAAAATGTTTCCCAGTATCAACAATCCAGTAACAACAATGGAGAAAGGATCCTTATTGATTGTTGGAAGAAAAAGTATTGTTAGGATGAAAACCAATTTGCCAAAGAAGTTAATAAAGTGCAGCAAGTTATACGTTTTATATGCATGAAACTGCATCCAGAGAGTGGATGGAAATTAATCAGATTTGAATCGAAAAGAAACGAATTGAAGCTGCTCTTCAGTATTAGAAAAGCATACAAAAAATATATTTATTTTCTTGTTTGAGGTGAAAAGTTTTTGAGTATTCGCCTTGGGGGAGATTATACAGGGTAATTTAAAATCAGCATAATTTTTCATTTTAAGCTCTTAAAAAATAATTTCAACTTTGTCACTAGTCAATACTTTGCAGTAATAGTAGAAAAATGAATTTTTTCTGAAAAACTGAAAGTTGTTGAAGAAATTTATTGATGTCTCGACTGAAATGCTGATTGGTAAAGTAACAACCGAAGACACAATCCGTGTCAAGTAATCTACAACGAAAGTGTACCAAGTTGATATTTTGCAAACATCATACAAATAGTGATAAGAAAACTAAGGAAACTAAGACTCAGCGGGAATTTGCAAAAACAATTTTTAAGCATGGGACGCTTCGCTCAGCTGTGCTTTACGCCACATTGCACTACATACAGCAGAAAGAAAAGGTTACTGAAAAGTAACTAAACCTGTCCAAATCAAAATATAATTTGATAATGGTTTTCTAGAACTAACTTTTCCTTTGTTTAAAGTTTGATGTATTTTTATTTATGAAACGGATGTGCTTAAAGTGAACATAAGGACAACTAAAATCCACAGTTCAATATTTGGTGTTTTTGGTCAGAAATAGCACATAATCTGCATATTTCTTAGGGAGTTTTTTACTTGTGTGGCTAATAAATTTTAAAACATACGCTCTCATCTTTCTTTAACTAACGACAACTGCTGAACAAATACTGCTGAGGCAAATAAAAATTACCAACCATTCGGAAAAACTTCGAGCTCGTAAAAATTTTTTTACAGTGGCGGGCTCATTATTCTAAAACAATTCAATCGGCTTCTTAAAAAACTGGGCTTTCCTTGCTTAACTTCAAACTATTAAGTACTCTTAGCTAATAGTTACTTTATTTTTCGAAATATAGCGTAATCCTCGAAAATGTTATGCAAATTAATGATAATTTGCAAAAAAACTGGGTTGACAAACTTGGTATAAACAAACTTGGTTGACCAATTAATTAGATGTACTGACTTTGTTTGTCAGAATATTTAATAGAAACTCTTTCACATGAAAGTAAAACTCTACACATTCTGCGCTATTTAAATAGCACCCTCAATTAAATTCAGCTAGAAAACTCAAACTTTTAGTTGCATTTACTAAACGACTTGCAAATTGGCTAAGTTTAAGTAATAAACCCTGACTTCAATAATTAGTTGAAATTTGAACCGGTTTTGTTTAGTTACTTATCTATTCCACCTTGATTAGATGTAGAATTCAAACTTATATCTAAAGTGCACACGATCTTTATGTTCAGCTTATCGTAGGTGTATACTTTTGTAGCTTGTGAACGGCCAATTTGGTTAGAGATCTACTCGATTATTCTTCAGCAGCAGAATTTTAGCTTTCACTTATGTTTATATTGACGTTTTGAGTTGGATATGCAACATTTTGAAAAATATGCTCGATATGTCGACACAAGGTTCCTTTCTATGCGCTCTTATCCAACTAGCAAGGAGCATAACCGCAAATATCACCATTCAAAGCGTGGAAATTTTAAATATTATCTTTGAACATTAAACATGTGACAAAATATTGAGAAGTTTCTGAATGAATCGATACAAACCCAAAATTTGTCGTCCTTTGAATAAATTCCATTTCTCGGATATCGGTATATCAAAATACAGCAACGCATTTTTATATTTTTACAAAATTAAAATATATTTAAGTGGCTCTGAATTGGACCGGTCTCTGCAACGGACCGTTTGCTAATTCCACGCTTCGTGATTTAGAAGTCTCAACTGAAAACGTTTCTAATTAAGCTTCTGTCGCAAAACGTGGTTGTGCTTTTTCACAACTTTAATTTTTAGTATCTCAAAGGCAGTTCTGCAAATGACTGCTAAAGCTAATCATCGAAATGGAAATATTAAAAAGGAAATTGAAGATTTCCGTCACAAAGTAGGGACTGTTTGACTCAATTGGATGGTGGTATTGTTTTTTCAATAGCTCCTTATTAATTTGGAATTAGAGGAAATGAAATAAAACTTTCGTAGGTATGCCAATGAATTGAATTGTACTTTTATTCATCTTGTGATGTGTCAAGGTCCAATTTAAGTGTTTTGGTTACTTATTGTTTGATGTTCCAAACAGCCATGCTAGTTGCCGACGTTCATTTTAGATAGGGCACAATAAGAAGAATAATGTGTGTGATGGCATACACTTAATTGGAGATGCATTATGTCAGTTTAGGTGCAGAACCTGCAAATGCAATTATGTTCTCTGTGAAGCTGGAATTATGGATTGTTGTGGAGAGATAATTTGTATAAAAATCTGTTTTCCATCGATTTTATGGAGCTTTCAGATGTACAACCGAGACTCGTAATGAAGCATAGTTGCGAACTAAGGACGTGTTTGGTTTGCTTGAGTGCAAGAAGAAATCCAGTAAAATGCTCGGGTTTCCGACCAAATCGGTGAGGGAATGAGTGTCACGCTTTTATGGTTCATCACTTAGCCCATAAATTAAGGCTCGCTGCTAAAGGTGTGCTGAAAAGTTATTTTTCTGGAACTGGAATACTCGGTTTTTACAAAAATTTTATTTTTTTGACGACTTGAGACAGAAAACATCGTATTTACAAACTGCATTGAATTTATAATTTCGTGATTAATATGGTAATATTTCAATATGGAAGTGAAATGATCCCTAGGTATCATCACTCACCAGTTAAACGTCCGCGAGACGGCTATATTAAGTAATTTTGGTCGGTACGTCAAGTGACTTAGAAAAGACTCCTGAAAGCCTATTGGTCAGACATATATGGACGTGCAATGGACCGTCGAGGGTGGTCATTTCTAGTTAGTAAGGTTCACATCTGTCCCTCTGTCTAAAGTAAAATTAACTTTGCGATTGTCTTTTTGTCTATTGTGTCATTAACTTCTTGTAAATTCTTTCGCGCTATATATATTGGATTTTAGTACAGTTAGAAACGCGAAACGGATGATGGCCAAATTATTAAATTGAAAGTGCATCATAGGCTGTTAAATGAACTATGCAGGACGATTTGGCTACTATGGAAAACGCTCCAAAATTAGTTTTAGTGCTTTGGAAGTTAACAAGGCAATAAATGGTAATCACATTTGATTGGTTGCAGACAGTTCAATATTATGTATTAACTTTATTTTTAGAATCCATTTGATTTAAAGATTCTAGTGTCTGCATTTCGGAAGTAAAAGAATATATCAAACATTGGCTGAAACATGTCGGATACACTGGAGACAGGCGCAATAGCAAGTATAAAAATAAGATTTTTTGCGATAGATATTAGTCATGAAATAATACGACAATGTTATTATAGTACAATTAATTAAAATGATATAATGAAATTTAAAAAAATGGTGCATTATAATTAAATCGTTAAATTTTCAATTATTACAAATTACGAGAGTTGAGAGACACTTGAGCTTGAATTAGGGAAACTAATGCATCGTTATTTGGATTAATTTCACTGATATAAAGACGTAAAGAATGTTCCAAATTATCGTCAGTCAGTCTTGTACGATGTGTTGATTTATTAACTTTCATCAATGAAAAGAACTGTTCGCATTTATAAGTACTGCCAAACGCACAAATCAATTTTTTGGGTTTTTCTAAAAATGTCGCGCGGGCCGGATCATATCTTAAAGTGGGCCGGTTATTGGCCATACCTGGTCTAAAAGGAAGGTAGACGATCTAAACATTGTAAGCGCAAAATTCTATATTAAAACCATCTTCTTCATTCTGGTTCCTGCCAATAAAATGTGATTTAAAATTCTATAGTGTCCTATTGTAACCACAATATGTGTGAAACCAACAACTTATTGATTACTATAGATCCAACAAAGATTACTATAGATCTCAAAATAGTCTGAATCCTTGCTCGTGATTAGGTACTATCTTCGGGAATTAGTGTTTTAGTGGAAAAATCAGCAATATTTTCGGAATTCTGCGCTTAGCACTTTCGTTGCGATTACTTTCATTATCGGCATAGAAAAAATAATTTTTCATAGTTTGACTGAGTTCGAGAATTATATTATATTTAAGGAAAGTATAATCCTGGAATCACATGCAAGAATGTAATGCGCGAAAATACATGCACTAATGAATAATTGCTGTTGCTCTTTTGCGTAAATCATGAATAGAAATATTGTATTTTCAAATAGATAATTTGTGTGAAATTTCGAAGACGAAGCAATTTTTGCATCATTTTATTGGC